CCACCAGGTGTCTCGTGTCCAGGGCCATGCATAGTGACACCTGGAACCAAACCCAGTCATCCTGGCTTCTGCCTGCTCTATTCCCAGCCTCCCAGCAACTGGGGTGTTTATTTAACCACATCTCGGTTCCTTGGTGCTGAAGGTTTTCAGAGCAGAAACAACAACAATCACAACATTTTGCAAAACCCCAAAGGGGAAGTTCTAAGTGGAGGTCAGCATCCAGTGGTGAAGGAGGGAGCTCTATCAGACAGCTCCAGGCCGGGGGTTCCCCTTCTCCCAGAGAGCCAGAGCCTAAGTGCCCACAGCTTGGGGTGCAGCTGGACGTGCCCCTGGTATTGGCAGGGGTGGGACCTGGAGGTGGGCCGCCAGTGACTGGGGAGCAGACAGACAGCTGGTGTCACACCTACAGTAGGTGCTTGGGGCAGGAGGAAGTTCTGGCGGGAGAACAGGGGTGTCCTGATGGGAGTGGGGGACGGAGCCTTGGAAAACCCCGTGCCAGACTGACTTCCCAACGTGCCTTCCCCTGGGCATGAACTCCAAACCTCGGGGGCTGGGGTTGGCAGGGGAGGGCAAAGAGATCCAGGCCCTGGGGGTCATGCAGTCAGCCAACAAATCCTTACTAAGCTCCTACTGTGTGCCCGCATTTTTGCCAGCCGAGGATACAGCAGTAAACCACATAGTGACACCGCGGCCGTCAAGAACACATTCTAGTTAGAGGAGAGGGAAGGAAAAGTGGTAGTAGAGAAGTAGTTTTGGACAGTGACCCGTGCTCAAGGGCCCCTTTTCAGTGCAGCGCCCACAGACAGCCTGAGATCCACGTGACGGTCAAAGCCACCACCACATGCAGAGTGGGGACGGGGTCCCTGGTCCATGCCTGGGTGGAGGCTGAGGCTCCCAGGCAGGAATGGGCTTGCCAGAACTTGCCAGGATGTGCACACCCTCCAACCCCGTGTTCTGTGGCAGCATGTTAGCCTGAAGCCGGCTGTGAGAGAGCATTGACACTGTGGAGATAGGCAAATGCTGCAAATCAGGAACCCCGCCCCCCCGCCAGCCCTTAGCAGTGTACCCCAATCGGCATATCTGAGCTTTGGAAAGGAGGCCACAGGCAGAGGGGAGGAGGTAAGGGAGGATGTTATCACAGAGGCAATAGCTTTGTTCTCTTGCGGTGAGAAGTCTCTGAAGGCTTTAAGGCAGAGGAGTAATGCGATTTGATGTTCACTTTGCCAGACAGATTCTACAAAACAAAGACTCGGGTCCAGGGAGCAAGTACATGCAGGAAGGGGGAGGAGAGACGAATAATCAGAACTGGGGCCCAGGCACGAGGCAAATGTACAAACTAAGGAGAACTCTCCCCCCACCCCACCCCACCCCACCCCACCCCACCCCACCCCACCCCCGCCCTTACCACAGGGGCAGCTTAAGAGCATTAGTCTGCTGCGATGGCTGGTCCGGCTCCCTCGGGGGAGGTGGGTCAGGGGGAGGGAGCCAAGCCTGCCCTGCTGCTTGACCCATGCAGAAAAGGCCCACAGAAGCCTCTGCTGCCTGCTGTGGGGGGAAGCCAGGCCAGTCGGCTTTGTTCCCAAAGGGAAGGCAACAGCAAGTTTTGGAAGCCTCTGCATCTCTACAGAAAGAAGCTGTGGTTTACCCAACATGTTCCCCGGGGAGATGAATGGCTCCAAAGTGGCTGTGAGTCTCCAGGCCAAAATGGCTACATTCTTGCCACTGGTGAGTTTCCAGTGGCATCTGATTCAAGTATCCTAGCCCACGCCCCATGCTATGATGAGAGCAGGTGCTTTTCCACCTCGGCTGCTGCACATCAGAACCCCCTGGAGAGCTTTTCCCACCCTGGGCCAATTAAACCCAGAGCTGCTTCTGGGGGGGTGAGACCCAGCCTCAGCATTGCGGAAAGCTCTCTGGGAGATTTCAAGTTGTAGGCAAAATTGAGAATCGCTGGATTGGAAGAAATTTCTGTGGAGTCAGAGGCCAAGTATTTTTCCAAATCACGTCTCCGGGGGGTAGATTCTATTAATAAGCAAGTCCAGGCAGAATGGCATGCCTCGTGCCACTCTTTCAGGCGCTAAGTGAGACCCTGAGGGGCTCCTCCACCGAGGGGGACCTTGACTGCAGGGAGAAGCTGGCGGCAGCCTGACACCGCTGGAGTCCCAGTTCCTGAGCATTAACTGTGGGCTGCCGCATTCCCCAAGGATGTTAAAGGGCTTGCGCCATCCTTTTTGGAAGCCCCGCCCTTTTGCAGACGGGAGTGGACTATTTAGAACTTCTGGCGTAATCCTCAGTAGCTGAGAAAAAGACCCAGCAGCCGACCCCAGAAGCGTCAGATGGGTGGTTGGAATCTGCCCGGGTTGATGTCTGCTCTGGAGCAGGTGACTGGGCATCCCAGGAAGCAGCAAAGAGGGTATGAAACGTATTCTTAGGGGAAAGTTAGAAAGGACAGATACCAAAGGCAAATGAGGTTCATGCTGGTATTTTGTGCACTGCTCAAAGAATAGAATGGGTATGCAGGGCGAAACGAACAGGCATAGCTCTGCCCCTTCACAGCCTGGCAGAGAGGAGTTGGAGAAGGAACACAGGCTTTTGAATGAGGTGTTCCCTCCGGTCACACACGTTTGCTTGTCCCTGTTGGGTGCCACGAGGCTGGGATCCGGCCCCGGGGTTCTGCCAGCGGCAAGGTCAACGAGGCTCCCGGCCTCTTGAGCTGACCTTGGAGAGGAGGAGAGGGCCAGGAACCAAGAAAGCAAGTGAATGGCAAAATGATGGCATCCTGTGTGAGCAGTTACAAACCAGTATGAGTGATGGTCAACCGTGTTGTGTGGTAAGGGCTTGTGTGGGTCAGAAAGACTGGAGTGGGGGAGGCCACCCTAGGTGGGAAGGAGGAGAAGCCTCTTTGAGGTGATGTCTGTCTGGGACCAGAGCACAAGCAGCAGCAATGGGAGAACACAACCAGAGCACTCAGAGAGGGTTGGCAAGGCCAAAGGCCCTGAGGCAGGAAGAACGGAGCCCCTCATGAGGACAGGGAGGTAAGCTGGGGAGGTGGCCAGAAGGAGTGGGGAGGCAGGCAAGGGAAAGGATGACTTGTATTCTGAGCCCACCTGTGGTCCGCTGAACCTGAAAGCTGTCAGTGACGTGCTCAGATCTACATGTTACCAAGTTGCTGTGCAGCTTGGGCTATAAACTTAACTTCTCTGATTTTCATTCTCAGCTGTAAAGAAACCAAAGCCCGAGATGATGATAAGGGTTAGAAATCGTATATGTAGAATTAATAGAGGAACTGATGTGTTGTGAATGCTCAGGAAAATGGCAGCTGTGGTTCTCCCCTCCTCCCTTCTCCCCCTTCTCTATCTTCCCCTCCTCCTTCCCCTCCTTATTGGCAGAAATCAGATGGGTGTTGCTCACAGCACTCACTCTTCGCCCGAAGGGGAACCTAGCATCCCGTGGGTCTTATGCCAAGAATAGTAATCTTGACAACTGTCTGAGACTCTCAATGCTCTTTCATTAACCCCCACCACGGGCAGGCTGACTCTGGCTAGTTCAGAGCTGGGGTGAACCATAGCATGGGGGTGCTACTCTTCGGGTCCCAGAGTCACCCTGCCATGTTGGAGGTTTTCTGGGGTGACTGAGTGCCTAGCCAAGCTCTGCTTCTGGATCCCGGGGCTTCTCCTGCACAGATCTAGGGTGCAAAAGACAGCTGCTTCTTGGAAAACTGCACAAACTTCCTTCGTGCAGGATCTCCACCCTGCTAGCTACTAAAGAAAAGGCAAAGGCCAAGTCTTCGCATGTCCTCAAGAAGGTTGTAACTGGTGGTGGTGGCAGGCAGAAAGCTGCTGTTGCCCCCGTGTCAACGGAGGGATTACAGAAGCCCTGGGGAGAGAGAGACTTAGCAGAGCCTGCTGGAGGCTCTGAAATCTTTTTTTTTTTTTTTTTTAAAGATTTTATTTATTTATTTGACAGAGAGAGATCACAAGTAGGCAGAGAGGCAGGCAGAGAGAGAGGAAGGGAAGCAGGCTCCCTGCTGAGCAGAGAGCCCGATGCGGGACTCGATCCCAGGACCCTGAGATCATGACCTGAGCCGAAGGCAGCGGCTTAACCCACTGAGCCACCCAGGCGCCCTGGAGGCTCTGAAATCTTCTCAGAGGAGGGAACCTCAGGGTGGGGTCTTTTTTTTTTTTTTAAGATTTTATTTATTTATCTATTTGACAGACAGATCACAAGTAGGCAGTGAGGCAGGCGGGGGCGGGGGCGGGGGGGGGGGAAGCAAGCTCCCTGCTGAGCAGAGAGCCCGATGCGGGGCTCGATCCCAGGACCCTGAGATCATGACCTGAGCCGAAGGCAGAGGCTTTAACCCACTGAGCCACCCAGGCGCCCCATCCTGGCTGGGTCTTGAAGGAAGGGCAGGAGTTTGCCAGCTGGAGAAAGGGGGACAGGAATACAAGGGGGCTGGTGAGGCAAATTCCAGCAACCCAGAGAAGTAAGCCATCCCCACACAGGAATGGAAAGGGCTGGATGTCAGTCGGATTCTTCTCCTCACAAGGGGCTAAAAAGAGCACGACAGAAGGTGGGGCCGGGGGAGAGCATGGGCTTCAGGTCAGGCTGGATTCAGGGCTCCAGCACCTCCTTTTAGGACTTGCTGTCCCTTCCTGATGTGGTCTCTCCACTTGGATTAGCTCATCATTCATTTCAGCCAGAAGGCTGGAGCCCCTTGATGCCCACAGCCTTTGTGGCTCACACCTGGCAGAAGCTGAAGCCACCTTCTCCTGGCTACCTAGGGCCAGAGCTCTAGGGTCCGCTCCGATCGCCTTGAGTCCCCTGCCTTGTCCCTGAGGCAACTGCAGTGGCCACAACCACAGTGTGTCATGGTGGGCTGAGGGCTGGCTCACCGGAGACTCGGTCTCCACTCGTTGCTGGTGTCCTGAAAGCTCTGTGTTGCTCAAGCCGTGCTCGACACTCTGCAGCCCTCCTAACCCAGCTCCCTCTCACCCCTGCAGGGCCCTCATCTTTGTGTCGCATGGAGCTGGGGAGCACTGTGGCCGCTATGACGAGCTGGCTCAGATGCTGATGGGGCTGGGGCTACTGGTGTTCGCCCACGACCACGGTGAGTACCTCCCAGTGGGACAGGGCCCACGCTGCTTGCTGGTGCATGACAGTTTGGGGGACCCCCCCCCCGCTTTCCACCACCCCACCTCCCTCATCCTTTCTCCTCTGTTATTCTGTGATTCCCGCGGTGACGCTGGGAAAAGACGCTCTCCATGGGATGTTTCTGAGTAAAAAAAAAAAAAAAAAAGTAATAATAATATGTAGTTATGTAAACAAAAAAATATGTCTGACCAGCAGTTTCTGTTGCGTCTGGGATTGAATGCAGGCTGATTAGAAATCTCAGCTGAGAAAAAAAAAGCCAAAGCCAGAATCTGTTTATACAAGAACTTGCCTCAGGCCAAGGAATCCTCTCTTGCATTTATAAAGGGCTTTCTGCGCAAAACGGGCCCCAGTTTTCTCCCAAGGGACTTCAGATGGATGTGGTAATAGTCCGCCAAGTACAGCTCAACCCCTTCCACCACAAGACACTTAGCCAGGATAATAGGAAAAGTCTCAGAGGCCATATCGGTCCCAAGAAAACCCCGAACGCACACATGTGTGCGTACACGTGTAAATACATGCACACACATGTTCTCCGGCCCGATTCTTTGATTCTTTGTCCTATAACAAAATCCACACTAACCATCCAAATGCAATGTTTATCGCCTAAGCCCGTATGTCATCCCTTCATCATTTTTGTGACATTCCTCATGGTTTGGAAGGCTCCCGATTTAGCTCTTCCCCTGCTTAACAGTCTTGAAGAATGAAGTGTTCCCTGTGACTGAACACGGTGATTTCTCCACAGCCACAGTGTAGAAATCTTGCGTCCCAGCTCAGATCCAGCAATGTGGTTGCTATTTTATGTGATTTGAAAATAGATAATTAAGTGGCATTGCTGCAAAGAGGAAAAGGGGAGCAGTGACAGGGCCCCGGAGTCCTTGCGAAAGGGAGGGAATGGGAGAGCAGGGGATGAGAAGCCTGCTGGGACATTTTGAATATAAAGAATTAGGAAATGTGGATTTACCAAGAGCCCTTTTTAAGCCAGCTATGAGCAAACGTCTTCATAACTGCGAATATTGACTAAATTCTTTCTTGTTATGGTCGTAATGTTCTTTAGGGCTTGGCAAATGGTCGCGGTAATATTTGTGAGGCTGTTTGAGATGTCATATTTGAGCACTGTCCTGATTTTCACTCTGGGGACTGTGTTGGTATGAGCCTGGGGACTTTGTACAGAGTGTAAAAACCCAAGATGGGAACACTTCTCTTCCTGTTGTCTTTGTTTCTGTTAATATCTGCTGCGATCATCCCCTCTCTCTTCAAACTGAGCAACCTAAGGACATGCTGGCAGAAAAGAATAATCGGGCTTGGCAAACAGCGAACACCTTCACCCAGAATCCAAGGAGGATTGTGAATCTTGGAATCTTTTACCTTCTTACGAACTCCCCTGGGCCACACCTGTGGGAGCACGTACCTGTTGTGCCCTATTTATTTGGTCTGATGGCAGAACTTTGAAAAACAAGTTTAAAAGGCTTCCCTGTTTGAAGAAAAGGAGAAAAGAAACAGCCCACCTATTGATGTTTCCAAAATAACATCTAGGATGGGTGCATCGTTTTCCCTGACGTTCTAAAGGTAGTTCAAAAGTGGTCATTGATATTCACCTGCTCTGAGTTCCTTGGTTTATCAGCTTCTTCCCATGACTCATTGGAAATCTCCCTGGCTAGTGCCAGAGGGTGGTGTTTTATTCAAGAAATGAACCCGGTTGAATGTGCGTGTGACTTTGGTGGTCGTCTGCGGATGAAAGTGACCATAGCTCACTTAGTAGGACAAAGCCTCGTGAGTGGGCCATCATTGCAGGGTCTCATGCGGCTGGATCCTGGTGGTTAGTGATCTGTGCTTTATTCCTTCTTGCTGACACGTGTAGAGAAGGAGGGATTCGAACCCAGACCTGCAGGTTCTAAAGCCTGGCCTCCTTGATGACAAGATGTGGATGACTCAGTATCCCTACCAGGAATGATTACATACAGAGACACAGGCAGGCTTCTTTCTTTCCTACATAGATTTTCAATTTAAATAGAGCAGAGAGTGGGAGAATGTCGGGCACTTACTGGGCCAGTTGGAGGTACACAAAGGATTAAAAATGCAGAGCTGAGAAAGACTGTTCTAGAGTCCGTGGCCTCTCCAGGGCCAGTGTGACCTCAGACCCCACCCCACCCTCCATCTCATGTACTCAGGCATGTTGTCATCCTGTTGTCAGAGGCCTGCTGCTAGAACATTCATGCCAGATAGCAAGCGGGCTCGGGTCCAAGTGCCCCCTAGGCTGTGACTCCAGACCTGAGATCTCAGACACCATATCGAACCATTCCAAGCCTCTGTTTTCTCATCCAGCAAATGGGCAAGGCTGTGCTGTCCTATAGCCAGGAATTTTGTGCCATAATGCTTAGAGAGCACCTGGCAGAGCATGGTAACGTGTCCCCCTGCACTCTGCCCTCTCCCTGACCCCTTCCAGCCACCGTGCAGACTGCCCACTGTGCCAGGTACCCACACGGGGAACTCCAAGGCCCTGAGCAGGAACAGCTAAGCCAAGGCCGGGAGCCAGGGGCGCTGGGTTCTGGGGCCCTTGCTGCTGCCCTGAGCCTGGTCCTCTGTCTGGCCCAGAGAGGCTGGTGCAAGGATAGATTTTCAAAACCTTTACAAAGTGAACAGACCCGCCGCTGCTGGTTTCTATAAACACAGTTTGTAGAAATGCAGGTTTCTATAAATCAGCCGCTAGCTTGCTTTCAAGTTCCCTCTCATTGTCCAAGTACGTTTTACTATCTCATGGTTTAGGCAGAGGCCCGGAGACGCTGTGCCTATAGGTGTCTGGTTGTGTTTCCCAGCATGCCGGGGAGACTGGCAAGCACAGCGCCATGCTCATTCAGTATCCCATTGAACTTTGCTGTTTTAGGATTTTGCAGGATGACAGACTGCATGGGCGTGGCCACAAACGAGAGCTGTGATTCCTGCCGTTGGTCAAGGGGCACTTCTGGTACATTCTACCCTCCCTTAATGATGAATATTACGACCCCGTTTTAGGGGTGAGAATTCTGAGGCTTTATTGCCAAAGGGCCCATTCTGATGGCACTGAAACATCCACACCAGTTGGGGGCAGTTTTCAGGCCACAGAAGCCTGACCATAGGAGCTTCACAAAAAATGTCTAAGACCGGGGGGGAGGGAGGGAGGGCGAGGGTGGGGGGACCCCACAGTGCCTCCAGTACGGGAAGCTCCATCTGTGGTCTTGCTTGGTTCTTGTTAGCTGTGGCTTTCCCGCCCATGGCAGCCAGCTCCAGCCTCCTGTTCTCAGTAAGAGGGAGATGGGGCACAACACAGCATGGCGGGGGCTGGGCTCATACCAGGAGAGCTCACCAGCATTCCAGCTACATCTCCTTGGCCGGTGCTGCATTGCAGGGCTACGCCCCTAGCTGCAAGGGAGGCAATGAAATCTCACTCATCCGGGTTTGTCACAGAAAGGGGCATTACCCAACCATTTTACTGTCTATGTTTTGGGTTATAACAGCACCTCCTGTCTGTCTCATCCATCCATCCTTTTGTTCTTTCAGAAGGTTTTGGTGCCAAGGTCATTATTGGCAGCATCAGTAAGTGGTGGGTAACATTCCTAATTGTGCAGCAGGCCTGGGCTCAGTGCAGTGCAAGGACAGAGTCATGGATGCGGAAACTGACAAGCTGATGGTAGACTGACCTGTGTTCCCCAGAAAAATTAAGTGGCCCCTGTTACGTGTCCAGCTTCACTAAAGTAATCAGTGGTGACTCCTTCCTTGGAGGAAATAGTCTTACTGAGTCATCACAGGTCAGCCCCTTGCTCTCCCCAACAACCTTCTCGTCTCCCATGTGGGGCCCAGGACTGAGCAGAGGGGAGGCCTCACCGTTGCTGGCTGAACGGAGGAAGGAGTTTGTGATCCCAAACCCACCAGACCAGAAATGTTTTAAGCACACACAACAGAATATCAATAGCAGAGTATCCACAACCGCTGGGCACTGTTGGGTGTTGGCCTTGTGGAGAGGACCCAGCAGAGTGGCCACTGGAACTCATAGTCTGGTGGCCAAGATTGGGACAACAGTCCAGTGAAACTTGAAAGCGATGCGGTTGGAGGCCGGAACAGATGAGACCTGTAACTTGGGTGTGCTGAGTAGGACACAATGTCTCAGAGGTACACAGGCTTCACCCGACGCCCAGAGCACTGGCAGGGGGGCTGGGTCTTGTCAGATGAGTAGGAGCCTGCCAGGAGAAGCAAGGTGTGGAGAGAGGCACCTGTCACTGAGAGCAGTTGGCTCTGACCTCAACTGCCTGTTGAAATCCTTGGGGAGTCTTGAAAAATATGGATGCCTGGGCCCTCTCTCCAGAGAGACTTGGATTTCTTATGTCTTTGATGTGTCTGGGGTATGGAAACTTCAAAATGACCTCAGTGGGGTCTCATGTGCAGTCAAGGTTAAGAAGCACAGTTCCAGGCAGAGGAGACTGTACAGGGAAAAGTTGATGCACAATGTGACATGCTTATGTCATGTTCAGGGAGACATCTGAGCCCAAGGACTCAGTGGACCCTGAAGTTTAGCAGCAGTTACCAGGGCGTGAGGGAGGGGGGCGCGGGGGAGCCAGCCCCTGGCAGGCTGATGAGTCCCTCTAGGTACTTGGAGCCCATGAGGGAGTTGATGCAGGGAGGGACAGGCTGGCTGCTGGGAGCAAGGAGGGCAACCAGTAGACAGGTGGGCGGGACCCAGCGAGGGAGAGGTGAGGGCAGACTGAGGTGATGGATCTTCCGGCATGTCTGAACAGGTGGAAACACCAGAGGATGGGATTTTCTGTGCCTTTCTAAATATAGTGCCAAGAAAACCAGGGCTCATGCTTACGCCGTCCCTCGGTCACCAGCTGCTCGCGGTGACTCACTGGAAATCCCTCTGCCTTCCACAGGAGCCGAGTGGCTGGTGTGAGCAGGGGAGAGGGCAAGGCACTGGGGCGGGCTCCC